ACAAAATCCAGACATTTCTAAATGACACTTTGAAATGCTTATAACAGTTTAAAATATGACATATTTTAAATAAGTCACCATATTTGCTACAATAAAAAAAAATGTACTATTTTTACTTATTTATAGGTATTCTGTTAAACTAAAACATGTTATGTTACCTAAATATGTGATCCTTTTCTTTATCAGAATCTGTTGTCAATAGTTTACAAATGGTCTCTTCTTTAGTTGGCTGTTTAAGATTTCCTTCCAATGGATTTAAAGTCAAAGAAAGAAAATTGAAGATCTGAAAAAATTTCACAAACCATTCAAATATAGTTAACATTACATACTATCACTTACACTTAAAAGAAAGTGAACATATGACTATTTTATATCTAGAAAGGACATTTTAGCAACGAGAAAGGGACAGAATTTTCACAACTTACTACCCTGAGAACAACTTTCTAAAAAATTAATATATCATAGTTGTATATTTTGGGGATACGTGTGATATTTTGAGACATGTGTACGAGTAATGATCAAATCAGGGTAATTGGGATAACAAATAAATGCTTCCTTGTACTGAAATAATAATCAGAAAATCAAAAAGAAATACATCTAATTCAGAATAGTCAAAATTAAAGGAAGATAGTAATTATTATAATAATATTTTTGGTAAGATATAAAACAAAACTAAAAACTCCATTTTGATAAATGACTCAGATTGAGTACTAAGGTATTTTAAATACATTGCTAAGTGGAAAGGAAGTAATAAGCATGACTAAATGTATATAAATTCCAACTGCACATCTCAAAGAGTTTGGAAATTTCTTAGTTTTCAAATCTAACAGAAAGTCAGGTTAATTTCACATAATCAGCTAAAATACGAGATCGAATCTCATCTGAAGAATTGATTTATGACTCAAAATAACTTTTGATGTTCATAAATTTCTCATGTCAAATTTAGTGTCATCTATTCTGAATTCAATAATGTTATAAATTTTCAAAGCTTAGAAAAAACGCTAAATTTGTTTTTGAAGTTTTACAGGGCTTGACTGATTAGCATTCACTCTGGAATAATTTTGGAAATATTAAAATAATATTTGGAAAATGATAGGCATGTTTATCAGATTGCTTAAAAAAATCAGAGGAAGTTACTTTATATGCAGTAAAAGTGGAATGGTTTGATGATTATATGATGGAATCTTGGGAATTACACATGCTTTAAAATTCAGAAACTTGGTGTTACAAACTCTTGAACTAAATAATTCAGTTTTACTATTGTACTATATGATCCTTGCTTAGAAATTACAGACTTCTGGTTAAAGCTTTAATGTTTAGTCCAAAAGTTTGCATCAATAAAGTAATTTAGTATATGTAATAACTTATTATTGAGCTTAACATCTAAATGACAGTAGATCATATTCCCAAGTATATTATCACTTTATCCTATACCTACCTTGTCA